GGCTATTATGAATTTTTTATTGTACCAGTATAACATAAAATTTTAAAAATGGACTAAATTGATATATATTTTTTATAAAAGTAAGCTAAATTTAGTATAATAGATTAAAATAAACCTTAATTTTCTCCATATGGAAGGCAGGATTAAGCAATTTCCTTTCTCGGGCCCACTTATGGCCTTCGAGTCTAACCAAACCATTGGTAAGCCTCTTCAAAAGTGGAGTCGATGTTTTTGGAAAATCATAAATCTTTAACATTATTTCTCTTATTTCTTCTGGTTTTGTTATCATCACTGTTGGCGTTGGTCCGTTCCATAAGAATGATCTATCACCTGCATTTTATAATATTACATTTTCTATTATTATTAATTTTTTTGTTATAATAAATGGAAGAAAACTAAAGAAATCAACAAATTAGAGTATACGGAGTATATACAATGTGATCGTAACAATCATAGCCGGACATACATACGAGAGGAGAGTCTGTTATATACAAATTAGAGTATATATACTCCCAATATATAAGATGGCTGGATATAGCCCACAAAACATTACCGTATGAAGTTAACTGACTCAAGGCATATTCTAAAATATAACATTTTAATTAATTATAACTTTATAATCTTAATTAACTATACTTTTCTTTGTTCTAATTAATTGAAGCAAAAAATTACAAATACGTACTACTCATGGTACGTGAAATAGGGACATGATTTTATTTTATTTTTTTATTTTCTTTTTTTGAAGAAGAAGAATACGACTGAGTGTCCGAGCTAGACTTATATTAATGCAAGCTTATCATCCTTGATCGGCTAGTACATACGACGGAGTAATACAGGGGGACAAAAGTTTTCCCACACCTGTTCTACCCCAAAAGGAATGAGTGCAACCAAGTGATGAGCGACAAAGTAGTTGCCATCTAATCATATTAATGAACAACAAGAAGATAGAACTATGAACAATGGTTATACGTCCATTAGAAAAAAAAAACAGTTATAATTAATAAGATGGTTGTCAAATGATCAATTAAATTAATAAGTATTGCAATAACTCATACTGTCTAAAGTATATACTCTAAATTTACGTACACATGTTCAAGCACATATGTTTAGAATATTAATAACTATTATTGCAAAAACTCATGCTATCTAAAATAATACTCGTAAGCACTCGCTCTATACTTCTAAATTTAAGCACATACTTTATACAAAGTACATGTTTAGAGGTTTGTTCCCAAAAAAAGGTACATGTTTAGAGGTTTTTCACGATTGATATCAATATTTTAATATTAGAATTGTATGTTATCAATTTTCTAAACATTTTCCCTTTAATTTTTACAAAGTACTCCATATAAGATATAATAGGTTACTTTGAATATGTCAAGGTATGTAAAGAATTAGAGACATATTTTTGACCAATTCTCTTTTTTTTTTTTTTGGTTGCTTTTTAGTACTATGATTAAAAAAATAATAAAAAATTTGATGAACCTAACATAAGTAGTATATACAACTAATACAAGTACATATTCTTCTGAATGAGCTAATAATAGTTCGATAGTATCACGATCGAGTTACGTGTAACATGGACTAACAAAATTAGCTATATGACTCTTATGAGAGTCGTGGAAGAATAATAGATAGCTTTAGCCTCATAGTTATCCACTAAAGATAGATTATTTTATATATATATATATATATAAAATGAGAACCAAGGCTAAAATAAGAACTAGGAACTAATCTAGGCCTTTAAATCATGTTAATCGGACGGCTCGCATGCTTTCCGTGTCATTAATGGCATTTTTGTAATATTATAACTTTACAAAGTAGTTTCTAGTTTCATTTCTCAAAAGCAAATGAAAATTTAGTAAATTAAAAGTAAATGAAATCAGTCTTAAAGTAAATGAAATTGCCTTAAAAGTTAAAAAAACCGAAAAAAGTTTGAAAACAGCGAAATTACGAAAATATCATTAATGAGAGCATGTGCAATGTGAGCCATTAGATGGAGTGTGATCAATTACTAAGATTAGTTCCTAGTTCCTATTATTCACCTTGGTTCTCACATGATCTCAATTATATATAAAAATTAGGTCTTAAAGAGACGTATCAATTGATGTAGTTGACTAGTTGAGAAGTACAATCTAGGAAAGTGAGATAAATCTTCTTTGTCCGAATGAAATTATGTATCTAATTATTTTCATAAATATATTAAACTCTGTATATGATATTATTCAGTACTTCGTTAAAAAAATTGGTTGAAAATTCAGGCCTAAAATTGTTATAAAACTCAATAATAAAAAACTAAAAATAGTTTATTTATGTTATGGAATACGTCACAATTGTACCCTTTAGCATTTTCGAAGTAATAAAGATTATGATCTCAATAGACTTACCACATACAAGACAACAACATCAACAACTAACAACAAAACAATCCTCAAAACTTCAAAACTCTTATTAACTTAATTGAATAATGGATAGATGTAAGGGTTAGATGCACACAACTTTACACACATAAAATAACTAATTTGACATGGAACATGCAATATATATATCTTGAATATTGGTCCTTAACAAGTTAATATGACTATAATTTAGTTATAATTTATGAACTTATAATTTATAAACTTATAATATGTAAATTAAATCAAGCTAATTTAATAATAATGATCAAAGTATCATACCATAGTTCTTGATAATTTGATGATGAAAAGGGAAGATCCGAGGTACAAAATCATTTGAAAAGTGCTCCATTGGCTTAGAAGTGGTTTGTTTCACCATCTTAGCAATTTCTTTGGTGTCACCAAACAATATTTTATAAGATTGGCCTCGAAACCCTTGTTTTTTAAGGCGTCTTTCTAATTTCTTTGGTTTCAACCACACCCAAATAATTGCTTTCCATATCAATGATATTGTAATAATACACACCAAAGAAGTTGCAACATTATTATTGCTCAAACTTAGCTTCATCATTTTCGATCTACTAATTTATTTATTTTTTTGGTTGTGTTTGATTATGAGAGAGAAAAAGAAAAAGAGAAAAAAAATATATATAGGGAATTATTTGAACAAAATATAGGAATAATTAGTATTTATAAGCTTAGTACTGTTTTGACTTTTGAGGCCAATATACATATAATGCATGCATGGTCCATAATTATTGATGTTGTATACTACTATAAAAATTAAGATGTCTTACTTGAATGGGTTGAATATCTTATTGTGGAGGGGCCCCAATTACATATTTGTTAATTAATTAAAATTTTCATGATCACGACATCCATTTCATTAATTTTAATCTCTACTAGCTATAATTTTTTAAAACATTGGGGAGGAACCACCTTGATAGTTGATCGTGTTCATAATCACGGAGTATTATCTATTTAATTAAATATATTATATGAAGTTTCACCTTCAACTTTAACTTATCAACCCGTGATTAGGATATTAAATTAATGTTAATACAACACCAACAATTAGATAATGAACTAATGTACATGAATTTCATAAAAATAAATAAATTAGGTGACTTTTGATACCATGTTAGTTTACTCAATATGATAGTCCTTTTACTCTATTTATTATACTACGTAGTTTCAAATAAGGTTACAACAATATACAAAGTGTTACTCCGTATTATTTTTCAATTACGATCGTTTTGCTCACATCATTTGAGAAAAGTAGGTGATTCTAGCAATAAGTGGAAGATACCAATTACAATTAGCACGAAAATAAAGCTAGTTGACTTAAATCATATTATCTATATCGTCAAGTTCTTGGCAAAACATCACCTTTGTAGCTTGCACTCTCCTTTGACATTCTTTGATTTTGGACATTAACTTTCTCTGTCAAAATTTCACTTCAATTAATTCTTCTAATTCCTTCTTTTAATTTGGTGTCGCCCTCTCTTTTTTGTGTACTTGGGAGGAACATCATGGTCCACATGTCTTAGAATCTCAAAGCATGCCTTGTGTAATTAAATTGCGTTCATTTTACCGGATTTTTATTAATCAAAACTCAAAAATTTTAATTTAGATAACACTAACTTGGACAATCTTTACTTTTACCGAATTGGACTTATTTGAACTTATTATCTTATTAGTATTTTTTACAAAATAAAGCAAACTATAAGTTTTGGGTCGTCATTTAAATTCCTAACACATCCTAAGTTAATAAATTTGAGCTATACTTTAAATTATGGTTGATATATATGTCATTTAATTTTACTTGTTGTAAAGGGCATACCCTAAATAAATTTAACACGTCTTTCTCATTTAGTATAATATATAAATTAATTAATATTGTATTAAAATTAACGAAAGCAGTGACATCAGATCACACCGTTGCCAGTGCACCTAGTCAATGATAACTATAGTTGTGGCTGGGAAATCAAAGCCGGCAGTAGAAAGGAAAGTTGATTAGCAGGTTTGGGAAATCTTAATCTACTTATACTTTTGAATTATTTGGTGGCTTAAAACATTTGTGATATATATACTGTTAAAGACTTAAAGGACCAAGTTAACCAAAAGCTTAAATTGATGGTTAAAGTTCAATATTGGTTTATATACTCTATCATGTCTTTTACATGAAAACCTATTGAGCTTGAAATGCGAATGAATGCAGTTTGAGCCCCCAACACCCAGCACCAAGTAAAAAAAAAAAAAATCAAGTTAATCAAAAGTTTAAGCTGATAGTTAGAATAATCCAAGACCGGTTTATATATTATTCTATCAGATATCCTTATAGTTTTGAAAATTCAACATGTACATGTAACGTTTATTAAAAATTCAATTAATACGATACCTTTAATATTATCCATCAAATCTCACTTGAAGTTTCTACCATCCAATATCAAACAAAAAAGAGATGGAGAGCTACATATATTGGCCAATGGTTGTGAAATTTTTAGCTTAGGGGACAGCCCATTTAATATAATTTAATTTTAATTTGATATGTAATGCACAACATGGATGAAATAATGAATTACTACTTATGATCTGCTTCTCTATGTGTGAAATAATAAGTTTTAGCGGTCTAAAATTACGCAATAAGCCACATATAAGATTTTGTGGTATTAATATGTGCATGCATGTCCTATAATATGGCCTTAGATTATATACAAGTACTACTTACTCTGTTTAACATTAAGTGTAACGTAAAAAATGACCAACATCAAAGAGATGTGAGAAAAAGAAAAAGAAAATACATTACAATTTTATTTTATTTTTTTTTAAAAAAAAAAAAAAAAAAGGGGTATAATTCAACGAAATCATATATACATATATACACTACAACAATAGACTACTTAAATTTATACTCGGCTTTATTATTGTTCTATATTGTACAAATTGTAGCAATATATTAAATTAAAGAAGCATAATTATTTTAGATACGACGTAGTATTAAGTTAGCACCAAATTGAGGACGAAGGGTTCCACGGCTATTAGTAGGAGCATGCTCGTAAGATGGTGGGAGGTCTAAGGAAAAACGTTGCAAAATCATAGACAACGCCATTTTAGCTTGCATCATCGCGAAATTCGATCCAATGCATATGCGAGGCCCCCATCCAAATCCGAAGAAGCACATCTTTCCTCCGGTTGCATTCAAAATCCCTTGTGCAAATCTATCAGGGTTAAACTCTTTTGCATCAGAACCCCAATATTTTTCACTTTGATGAACATCAATCAGTGCTAATTTGACTTGTACACCAGCTGGTAGAATTGTATCTCCTAGTTTCATTTCGTGGGAAACTCTTCTTGTAAGTGAAGGTACTGCTGGATAAAGTCGTAGAACCTCGTGAAGTATCATGTTCACCTAGACAAGTTAAAGCCCAAGAAACGACATATATACTGTTAGGTACAACTGTGAGTATGTTTTACTCTCGTTGAAAGATTAAGTGATTAACTTTAGGTCGAGATATTATTGTGTTTGTTTCACTTTTAAATAATCTTTAGGTTGGGTTATTTTATAACAAGTACGTAACTTTTTCCATACCAAATAAATTTTTCCTAATTCAATTATTAAGTTTAACAAGGTACAAGTTTAGTATCAACTATAATGACCGATGTTACAAGCGGATAAGCAAACTAATTATGAAATGAAACAGCCAATTTGTTCAAAGTTATAGAAATGTAAGTACCTTTTTCAGCTGATTTAAGCCTTCCAAATGGGGTGTATCATGGCCAAAAATCGCGATAATCTCCTCTCGAGCTTGTTCTTGCCAATGTTGGTGTTTGCTTAACAAAACAAGGGTCCATGTCAACAATGTTGAAATGGTTTCTTGTCCTGCAATATAGAACATTTTGCACTCTTCAATAATTTCTTTCATACCCATTTTAAAATGTTGTTGTTTGTTATTTCCATGTAAAAATTGATGATCTTGTATTTCTTCTAGGTTCGATTTGAGTAATAACCCTAACAAATCATCTTTAGCTGCTTCTCCATTCTCCATTTCCTTTTGCCTCCTTAGAATCATCTCCTTTAACAATGATTTCATTTCATGGAGAATATTCGCCTCCCTTTTGTTTGTTTTCGTTGGGAGAAACCTAAAAACCGATAAAAAGGGTTATTAAACTCAGTCTATAGCTACTTAATACATTTACTTACATCAAACACGACACAATAATAAGTATGGATTTCGACCATCAGCTTAACCTTTTGGTTTAGTTGGTTCTCTTATATGGTATCAGAGCTAATATGACACAAAAATGACGGGTTTAAATCTCATCCACCCTCACTTTCAAGTAGAACATATATTTGTAAGAAAAGTCACATACTCGATCAAATGTTAATGTGTATATTATAATAAAGTTAATGATATCTATCAATGCAATTACATACCTAGATCCAGGGATATAAACTGATTGTATGGATTTAGTAGTTATTGAGATGTGCTCTCTAAGAAGTTCAAACACTCTCCTTCCTTCTTCAAAACTACTCCCAAATGCTGCACGAGAGATTGCATCCGCAGATAGATTGTGTAAATACGACCAGATTTCAGGCTCACTCGATCCTGTTTTCGATGTCATCTTCTCCCATTCTTGTATCATGGTGTTACTACTCGCTTCAAATGCTGGCACCATATGCTAAAACATTTCCAAAATTTATAATAAGCAATGTAATTAATTCAATAAAACCTCCCTAATTCCAAAATAATTACAAGTATACATATGTATGTATTCTGTCCTATTCCAAATATAAGTTTAGTTGTAGGTCTTTTTTTTTTTGTGTTTAGAGAGTCATAAGGGCGAGTGATGAAAATTTATTCTAGAATCACTTGAAATCAGAAGAGGTGATCTAACCACTTGAGCTATCCCTCACTCTCATATTATAGTAGTAGTCTAATAGTATTATTTTGTATATGACCACTATATCAATGCATGTTAATATAAATGGACTTAAGACCTAAGATCAAATTTCGCTTTATGATCTGCCTTTTGTGCCTAAATCTACATATATACACACGAAAAGAAAAAAAAAATCCAATGGAAAGTTGGAAACAAACCTTTAATTTCTCCATATGGAAAGCAGGGTTGAGCAATTTTCTGTCTTGAGCCCATTTTTGGCCTTCGAGCCTTGTTAAACCATTAGTAATCCTTTTTACAAATGGGTGTGGTATTATCTTCGTAAAATCATAAATCTTCATGAATATTTCTCTTATTTCTTCGGGTTTGGTTATAATCACCGTAGGTGTCGGTCCATCCCATACAAAAGACTTTTCACCTACATTTATGCATGCCAAAAAATTAAATTTCAATTATTATTATACACTTAATTATACCTTTTTAAAACAAGGAATTAATGAATAGATCAAAAGTAGCTTTTTCACAAAAAAAAAATAAAATAAAATAATAGACCAAAAATCGGAAACTCGGGAAGGCCTACTACAATGGATTTAAGGTATGTAATATGCAACTCAATTTATTACATATTAACTGCAATCGCACGTGACATTTATAAAAAGACAGAGAAGAAATCAATAACAAAAAGTAATAATGTGACGAAGTACCATAGCTCTTGATGGTTTGAAGATGGAAAGGGAAGATCCGAGGGACATAATCATTGGAAAAGCTTTCCATGGGCTTGGAATTGGTTTCGTTCACCATTTTAGCAATGTCTTTGGTGTTACCATACAAAACCTTGTAAGGGTGACCTTGTAATCCTTGTTTTGTAAGGCGTTTTTCGAGTGCTTTAGGCTTCAACCATATCCAATTCAATGTTTTCCAAACCCATGCTATGATGATAATACATACCAAGGAACTTGCAATGTTGTTTAAGAAGGTAATCTCCATAATAATTATATTCTACTTCTACAAAATAAGATTTTTTGTGTATGTATCAAATTATAATGAGATAACGGAAATTAATTAATTAATTGAAACAAAGATGAGGAATAATAATAATAATTACTCAATATTTAAAAGAATTTAGCTTTGAATTTTATGAGCACCACTAGTCGTACATTATTTTGCTCATGACGTCACTACTTACATGGATTATGTCTCTTCATGCAAGAGACATCAAACACAAATTGGATAAGTAAGTAGTAGAAATTTAGGGTCAAGAGTTCTAGACCAAGACATCAAGCTTATTACATCCATGCAATTTTGAATTTTCGGTTGTTCCTACAATTAATTAATTAATATGTTGTTTTCCTATATATGCGGCGGCTATGCAAAATCGGGTTTACTAGGTATTCTCACCAAAACTCTTGAATTTGTATATCTAGTGATATGATAGATGTTTCAACTTTTTGAATTTGACTTTGTTGATGCTTATTATTTTGAACAATGATTTCATTGATATTTTTTTTTTGGGTTACACTTAAATAAAAGTTTTTAAGAAATACTTCTTCTATTTTTAATGAGTATGAAATAATACTGTATTATCGTTTGGTATTAACTTTAAAAATTATTAAGTGTTATTCTAGATGCGCAAAATCACGTACTCCTATGCCTAGAGCGAGTGACTCAATAATTATATGGGTTAGTGATAGAGAAAATGGAGAGGAAGACGAGATGGAGGAGAAGAATGGAGAGGATCGGATGAGCGAAAGAGAATTAGGGTTTCGAGTCGAAAAATCTAAGCTCGTAATACCGTGAGAAAATATGAGAATATTTGTCGTGCCTTTATCATTGATTAAACATAAGTATATATACAAGATTATACTAGGGTTAGATCTAGGGATACATTAGTAAAATACAACTAATAATATACAAGATTATTTACATAATCTAACAGTTAGCTAGAAAAACTAATTTGTAATCAGGCAAATGAGTGACGAGTAAAAAATGATTTCAATAATAAAAACTATACACCAACCTTGACATTTGTGTACCTTATACTTTTCAAACTACATATCTTTATCGCTTACTCATGTCGCGTATTTATTTATAATATAAAAATTATAATTTTCTTATTTAGATGTGACTTTTCTTTGATAATGACGTTTGTTTAAGTCTTACTGTCTTAGTCATGGCATGCATGCATGAACCAAAACTATGTGAGTAGTGGGGTTTCAAATTCAGCCTCTCAGGTCCATTTTGGACCAATTTATTTTCTTTTTTTCTTCTCATTTTCTTTTACTTTTACTTGTTTGAACCATCTTCAATCTAACATGATCCACATGCATAAACTACGAGTAGCATTTTTATATATATATATTTTTACCTAATTGTAACCTCCTCAAGTCCTATTCATGAAAGAAACACGTGGTGGTGAAGATTTGATCCTATTACCTATAAGGGCATTAATAAAGCAGTCAACAACATAGCTAATTGACGTCTATCTTTTTTTAAACACAATTTTAACAAAACTTGGTTTCATAATTAACTCAAATTGGGCGTGTGTACTTGTGAGTATTAATTTTTTGGGCTCCTAATCTTAATAATATATTGACGGACCAATATCTATCAAGGCCTAAAAGGCCCAACTAACGGAAATGACTGCGCCTTTGGATCCACCAAGGCTTACCCCAAGTGGCCTGCAACTTTGCAAGGAACGCCCATTCAAAGATATCCAAATTCTGCTACTCCCTATTATGCCTTGGGAAAAAAAAAAAAAAAATCCCTATTACATACGTAGATAAGTTGTTGCTTGGTAATAATTGTGGATGATTAAGGCTCTGTTCTTTTGAGCTTTTGGGCAGAGCAGAGCAAATTTCAGCAGAGCAAAGCAGAGCAGATTGAAGCAGAGCAGAGCAAAGCAGAGCAGGGCAGGGCAGAGCAGGGCAGGGCAGAGCAGAGCAGAGCAGATTGAAGCAGCTATTTTTAAGTAGTATTTTTAAGCAGAGCAGAGAAGAGCAGGGCAGAGCAAATTGAAGCAAAGCAGAGCAGAGCAGAGCAGATTTCAGCAGAGCAGAGCAGATTTCAGCAGAGCAGAGCAGAGCAAAGCAGCTCTAAAGAACGGGGCCTAACTAGATTAGTTAGTTTTTTTTTAAAAAAATAATAAATAAATAAATATTACCTCCGTTACAGGTTATGTGCAACGATTAAACATTTTCTCTCTCTGCTTTATGTCAAATCGTTGCACATAACTTGTAACAGAGGTAGTAACTAGATTAGCTGGTTATAAAGGGTGGTATACAAGATATGAAATTAAACCCCGTCTACATTATTTGCTGTTGTGGCTCTTTCTACACCCAAAAAAATTACTGTAAAATTTTTAGTGTAAACTTTAAAAATTTGACCATGAATTTTCATAAATTTATAAGAAATAAGTTAGTTAAGTAATCAAGATCTCATTGGAGTACAATTTTTTAGCATACGAAAATGGAGGACATAAATATAAATTGATTAATTAATTAATTAAGTTAGTTATTGTTACGGCTCAAAAAAAAATTGTGAAGACTGTAAAAAGTTAAATGTTAGATAATTGTTTACGAGGCATGACAAGGACATAAATATAAAATTATTTATTCCAATCCAGTGGCGGACCCAATTAAGTGACATGGGGGGACAGCTGTCCCCCCATTTTTAAAAAAAAAATTAAAAAAAAAAAGTGAAAAAAAAACAAAAAAAAAGCAAAACGCGACACTGCTACAGAACGAAGAACAACCAACAACACTCAGTCTTCACTCCTCCAATTCTCCATTGCCTCCACTGAGATCGACCGTCGAGGCGTGCGCCGCTGCTCCACCAACCAGGCAACCACCGCCCTGCTGCGTCGCTGCTCTCGGTTCCTCACCACTCACCAGTTCACCAAGTCACCACAGCACCACTTCGGTCTTCGCAAATCGGCAGCCTCTTCACTAGCTGTGTGCACCGGCGCCGCCTGGGTGCAACCAGGCAACCACCGTCTGACCGTCGAGCCTCGGCCGTCCGCCACTGATGGTATGTCTTGCTATTTGCTAACCCTAATTCGAAATTCCCAATTTGAAATCCCCAATTGACAATTGTTAACCCTAATTTCCAGATTTTTGTTTAATTATTGTTAATTTTAATTGCAATCTTTGTTGAATTTTAATTTTAATTGCAATTTTAATCTTAGGTTTTACCGTTTTATTAGTATGCATTCTATGCAATGATGTGAATTGTGGAAATTGATATATATTTTTCAATTTAATTAGGAAATGTCAAATGATTCACCTAATTCAAACAAATCCAAGGCTACTAGAAAACAACCCGATCTTCGACAATTCATGTTTAAAAGAAAGAAACTCCATGAAAATGAGTCCAATAACTCTCCTTCATTAAGCTCCCCTCAAAGTCAAGAAGATGATATGGAAATGGGTGGTTCAAGTACTTGTAATGTACCATTGGAGGAAAATTGGTATACGATGTTGAACTTCTTCCTCATGATCCGGGAAAAAGAATAAACATAATGGATTACCCCGCAAATGAACGAAATGCAGTTAGGAGGGGTTATATTCTTAAAAAACCTTGCCAACCAAAAACTCATGACTTTCCTTAAAGACAAGTGTCTGGTTTACGTCGCTTTAGTGTTCATTGGTTCAAGAAATGGGATTGGCTTGAGTATAGTATTGAAAAAGATGCCGCATTTTGTATTGTGTGTTACTTGTTCACGAATGAAGTTGATAGTTATTCGGGGGGTGATGCATTTGTTGATGGAGGGTTTAGGGCATGGAATAAACCGGAAAGATTTGAGAAGCATGTTGGTGGAATTAATAGTGCTCATAATCTTGCTTATGAGAAATATGTGAATTTAAGAGATGGAAAAAAAAAATCAATCTTGAATGTGTTTGACAATGCAAGTGAGGTGATTAAGAGTGAATATTTTATCCGCTTGGATGCATCTTTAACTTGTTTAAGATTTCTTTTGGGGCAAGGTTTGGCATTTCGTGGACATGATGAAAGTGGGGAGTCATATAATAGGGGTAATTTCCTTGAGCTTTTGAAATGGTTAGGAGAAAAGGTTGAGGAAGTAAGACAACATACTCTTGAAAATGCACCTAAAAATTGTCAAATGATTTCCCCTTCTATTCAAAAGGACATTATTAATTGTTGTGCCAAAGAAACAACTAGGTGCATAATAGAAGAAGTTGGTGATGATTACTTTGCCATATTAGCCGATGAGTCAAGTGATGTGTCCCAAAAAGAACAACTAGCTCTTGTTTTGCGCTTTGTTAATAGAGATAGTGGAAAGGTAATGGAGCGATTTTTAGGCATTGTTCATGTTGGTGATACTACCGCTTTAACTCTTAAAGATGCAATCATGTCTTTACTTGTTGAACATTCATTGAGTCCATCTATGATAAGAGGGCAAGGGTACGATGGAGCTAGCAACATGAAAGGTGAAATAAATGGTCTTAGGACTTTGATTATGAATAATGATACTCCAAGTGCCTACTACATACATTGTTTTGCTCATCAACTTCAACTAACACTAGTTGCCGTTGCTAAAAAGAACGATAGTTGTGGTTGGATTTTTGAGATACTTGCAAATTTATTGAATGTGGTTGGAGTTTCTTGCAAGAGAAGAGAAATGATTCGACAAGATCAAGCTCAAGAAGTTGCTCGAGCATTGGATGTAGGGGATATTGTGAGTGGATCGGGTTTAAATCAAGAACTTGGTTTGAAAAGGCCCGGGGATACTCGTTGGAGTTCTCATTACAAGTCTCTTTCAAACATCATCCTCTTATTTCCTACAATTGTTAAGGTACTTGTACACATTGGGAAGCATGGTGTATCGGAAGATAAGTTCAAAGCTCAAATTGTTTTAGGACAATTAGAGTCATTTGACTTTGTTTTTATTGCTTACTTGATGTTGACTATTTTTGGATACACTAATGATTTGTGTGTTGCTTTGCAAAGAAAGGAGCAAGATATTGTAAATGCCATGGAACTTGTCACTTACACAAAAATAGTGTTGCAAAAAATGAGGGAGCAAGGATGAGATACTATCTTAAACAAGGTAACTTCATTTTGTGCTAAACATGGTATTGTTGTTCCCACTATGGATTCTCCTTATGTTCCTCAAGGAAGATCAAGACGTTTTGTTGAAGAAGCAACAAATCAACATCATTTTCGGGTTGGAATTTTTTTAAGAGTGATTGATTTGCTTCTTCAAGAACTTGATGATCGATTTAATGAGAGGAATATGGAGATACTAATGTGTATGGCTTGTTTAAGTCCTAAAGATAACTTCTCATCCTTTGATAAAGATAAGGTACTTAAACTTGCCTCTTTTTATCCCGAAGAATTTTCAAGCTTTGATTTGATGACTCTTGAATGTCAACTTGATATATTCATGGAGAATATGCTAAATGATGAAAGATTTCAAGGTTTAAATGACCTTAATTCTCTTTCTATGATGCTTGTTAAAACTAATAAGCATAAGACTTTTCCTCTTATTCATTTGCTTATCAAGTTGATGTTGATTCTTCCGGTTGCCACGGCAAGTGTTGAAAGAGTCTTTTCCGCAATGACATGTGTAAAAAATAAGTTGCGAAATAGCATGGGTGATCAACTTATGAATGATTGTTTGGTCACTTTTATTGAGAAGGATGTCTTCTTAAGAGTTTCCGATGAAAAAGTTGTTGAACGCTTCCAAAATATGAAGACTCGAAGGATGAAAGTGTAATTTTAATGTAATGTTTATGTAATTTTTTTCATCATTTTGAATTGTATGACTAAGTATGTTTTTTATTTTGAAATTTTAATACTAAGTATTAACCAATTTGTGTGTTTGAGTTATTTTTTGTTTTTATTTTTTGTTAAGCTATTTGTAAGTTAAGCATTTTGTCCCCCCGAATTGAAAATCCTGGATCCGCCACTGTTCCAATCCATTTGTTCCCTTTACAATTAAAATATTTGAATAAGCTCGCATACAATAAAAGTTAAAATAAGAACAAAAAGAATCAAGGGGAGTATAAATTTCAGTGAGAATTCTCTTTTATTCCTTTTCATTTTATTTTCTTAAAACTTTAATAGTTTTATATGGTGTTAGACATATGACGAAGTGAGTTATATATAGAGTATATTTTAGGAAAACTACTTACACGATTAATTAGTAGAGAATGACTTTAGAATTAGGTTGCGCATATCAGATTTGCAAACTGCTTGAAGTTTCTCTCTAAACTCACATCTACTAGTCCTCATCCAGAAAGGCACAAAGTCACCCAATAATGAATGAAAACCTTTATTTAGCAAAATAAATAAATTAATTAAATTAAATTATATTGAGGCACCTAAAAATGAAGTAAGAGGGTGTGGTGGGCTCTACTTCTACATCCAAACTTTGCTAACTAAAGTACTTCCAAAACATAGTCACTTTCCCTAATCAAATCACACACACACGCCCATACACCACATATATATATATATATATATATATATATATATATATATATATATATATATATATATATATATATATATATATATATATATTCGACGCTAGCTTTTGAGTAGCTTTTAGGTAGCTTTTAGTGGTTTGACTTAACAAAAATGTGAGTGTTTGGCAAAGTAATGGTTCAAGTAGCTTTTAGTGGTGGAGGTAGCTTTTATTAAAAGCTAGGATTATTAGCTTTTGAAGTTAGAGGTAGCTTTTGAAGTAGCTTTTGAAAATTTAATGTATAGTTTTAAAAATAAAATATTGATTCTTAAATGTAACAGCTAGTCAACCACTATTTTACCGAACAATCATACCTAAATTATCTTTTTTTCACAGCTAACAGCTTGTTGACAGCTGACAGCTATCTCCACAGCTCACAGCTATCTCTACAGCTACATCTACCTTCACAGCTATATTTTTCCGAACATGCCCTATATATTCGAGATCAATAAAACTCTCTCATCTATCTGTAGTTAACATATATATTGTCATCAGTGAACTACGTAACACTACAATATTCTGTATGGACTGTATCAACCCAAAAATTCCATGAGAGCGGGATTGAGGGAATGTATGAATTGAAGGTAGGGCATATCCAAGTATTAGAATCAAAGAATTACATAAATCTCAACCATATGTGGTGATTGAAAATGCATGACAAGGACACAATGCAAGTTTATATATATGTACTCTATGTACCAACTTCAGGTGCAAATAATCTAAGAAAATAGAACTAACCATATACTAATTTATGCACCAAGTATATGTAATCCAAACTACTGTAGGTTGGATTAGTTGGCCAACTTAATCATCTTAAACACCCACTAAACCCTCCCAAAACTCAAAAACACAAAAATAAAAAAAAAATGAAAATGAAAATTCCTACTTCACTTTCCATTATTATTTTGAAAATGACACTAAATATTGTAAATAAACATGAAACTTGATTTGCTATACATCTCTGACAATTCCATTTAACAGAACCATACCCAAATCCTAACTACTCTTATGAGCTCAATTACATAAAAGATTAGATAATAATTTGTTGATTTAATTAAATAACTAATTTGATTATTTAAGTAAAATAATAATGAACACAATAAATATATATAATTAAATTTGTTAGGCCAACAGTTATTGTAGGAAATTCCCTTTACGTCTATTTCAAAATCCATCCAATCTCACCAATTCCTCTTAATATTATGGGTAATACATAACCTTCTAAAATACCCTTGTTATCAAAGCAAAGGTTTTGTTGGGTTGTTGGTCACCATCTTAAAACCCAACTTCACCTTCCTCTCTTATTCTTCAAACTTCACTCTTTTTTCAAATGCTACAAATGAATTCCTACGATCATCATCAACTCATTAACAATAATAACTCGAGTAATAATCCTCAAGCTTCGAAAATAGCTAACCTAGCTTAGCATTCATTTTTTTCCCCCTAAATGGGGTTTTCTAATAATTATGTACATATTCCACTTTCATCATCAAGTTTGTTACGTGGTGAAACACGAGGGGAAGGTGGAGAGACCGCGAATGAAGCCCTTGTTACAAGTAGTGATAATGATCAAATAAGGCCGGTTAGGGAAATTCCGGCTTCATTAGTTGTAAGGGTGGCAATGAGGGTATCGCGAGCAAAGTGGTTTACGTTCCTTAGAAGGGTTTTTCATTACCAAAATGGATCAAGATCTCACCTTGGAGAAAACCCTTTTAATTCTTGTAGTTGGATGATGCTTGAATTTCTAGCACTTGTTATTCAAATTTGTGTTACTTTGATTACTCTATGTTTTTCTAAGGAAGAGAGGCCTGTTTGGCCTATGAGAATATGGATTGTTGGTTATGATTTTGGTTGTGTTATGAACCTTTTTATCCTATATTGGAGGTATAGGCATTACCATTTGGTACAAGGAAATGATGGGATAAACATTCTTGATTTGGAACAACAAAGAAACAATGAAGAACAAAGGTACTTTTTATGTCTAATTCAAAATTATTATTACTTATTATCAAGTACATCACATTTTATTACTTTGTTGCATACTTAATTACTTTATCTTGTCTAGTGTCAATAAAAGAAATTAAATTTAAAAGAATTGTACTTGTAATGTATAGTTATAGAAAATATTATTAAATCCATGGATAGCATGCATATGTTTAACTTTAATGATATATATATGATTAGTTCATGATCACATGTGGATTTACTTTATCTAAATAATGTATACATGCCATACCTACTAAATGCATGCACATATATAAAACATCATTACATGTTATATCTTAATTAGTTTATAGATTAATTAGTATGCAAAAAAAAAAAACACATTTTAAGTTATTAATCTAGCTTACAAACTTTAATAAGATTGATGTGCTACAATCAAAGTATGCTAATATATTATTGGTGTTTATACATGGTTTTGGGCAGGGGCTTGCATTTGGTGAACAGATGCAGGGCATCACTAGACTTGTTCTTTGCAATGTGGTTTGTGATGGGGAATGTATGGGTTTTCGACTCGCGATTCGGATCCTTTAACCGAGCTCCGAAGCTTCACATTCTTTGCATAACCATATTGTCTTGGAATGCCATAACTTACTCCTTTCCTTTCCTTCTTTTTCTTCTTCTCTGCATTTGTGTTCCATTAATTAGTAGCTTCATTGGCTATAATATGAACTTGGGTTCTGCTGAAAAAGGAGCATCTGATGATCAAATATCTCATTTACATTGCTGGAGATATAAATTGGTTGAGACCAGTTTAGGTGCTGGGAATTCCTCCCCTACTAAGGACAATCCAGTAAGTTCAACTCTGTTCGTTTGTCTTGTTCATGCATGTGGTCAAGCTAAGCTAAAGATGTGTTTTATTCACCTGATTTTACTTATTTAATCTTATTAAATTCTATAAGAACTTGTTTTAGTTGTAAATGAAATTTGGATAATCCTTATTAACCTTCATCAAAAATTTTTTTCCTAAATTTGTTTATTTATTTATTTTTATTTTTTCGAAATAAGTGAAAATAATAAGAAAACCAATGCAAACAGAACCTAAAACTTTGACAATCATGCATAAACTTAAGTGATATATATAAAAGATTAAAAAAAAAAATATAAAGTACGCCATTTTTAAATAAAAAAAAAAGGAAATTTTGCAAAAAATCACCTTTTAAATCTTGTTTTTTGCAAATAACCACCTTTTAAAAAAATTGTTGCAAAAGACCACCAATTTTAAAAATTTTGTTGCAAATTACCACCAATTTTAAAAAATTTGTTGCAAATTACCACTTTTTTTAGCCAAATTTATCAATTGTTTTACATTGAATTGGTGGTAAGTTGCAACAAATTTTTTAAAATTGGTGGTTTTTTGCAACATTTTTTTTAAAAGGTGGTTAAATGCAAAAAACAAGATTTAAAAGGTGGTTTTTTGCAAAATTTCCTAAAAAAAATCGTAACTTTTCTACAAAAAATTCTTCTACAAATTTCTTGTAAATATTTCACTTTAATTAGGGCTTGTTCACTTCAGCTTAATTTCAGTTCAATTTACTTTAGCTCCAATCAGTTCAATTCAGTTCAGCTCCTGCTAATTTCCTTCTCTCATAAAATATTCATTTTAGCTCACTTTAGTTCAGCTCAGCTCCAATCAGTTCAGTTCACTTCAATTCAGCTCAGTTCAGTTCAGCTTAATTCGGTAAATGTGAACAGGCCTTAAGACATGTTTTTTTCCCTCAACTTAAATACGAAGTAATTATTAGTTTTTAATCAGTAGAAAATTATTATTTTATTCATTATAAATCAATATTATTATGTAAAAATCAGTTTAAATCATGTGAAGAAAATAAGGTATTCATGCACTTGTGTGTTATTAATTACTTGATAATTAGCACTAAAATTAATTAAATGCTTATTTAATGTTGCAGGAGTGTTGTATATGCTTGACAAAATACAAGGACAAAGAAGAGATAAGGCAATTGCCATGTTCACATATTTTCCACAAAAAATGTGTGGACCAATGGCTTAGGATTATATCATGCTGTCCTTTATGTAAACAAGGTTTAGATTGATCATAGGTAAACTGTTGAGATATTGTCACAAAAATTATACTAACGAGAAACTTAAACATCCCCTTTTTCTTTATAATTTCTTAATTATATCAAATATATTATAAATTGGGGTATAGACTAATTTCATTGTACAGCTACTTTTTCACCATATATTGTGTAGTAAGAGTATATAGTACGGAGTATATTATATAGATTGTCTACAAATTTTTGAGGAATGTAACAATTTCATCATGAAATCCTCTTATATATACGAGTATATGTATACAAAAAATAATGACATCTTATGTTTTTTTTGTTTTGTTTTTTTTTTTTTTTTTGTCTGTAAAGCTTTATTTTTGAAGTTCATATTAAAGGTTTTACAGTTACTTTTGTTTGTGTGGTTAATAAATCTACAAAATTGATTTAGATCATCAGCACCTTTTTGGTGCAGCAGGCCAAACCGTGTGACAAGTGTTACCTGAGTTATTCAGTTAGGGGTCGGGTTACTCGAGTTATTCGATCAGGGATTACTTGAGTGGTTCGGACAGGGATTACTTGAGGGGTTCACTCGATCAAGGGTTACTTGAGGGGCTACTCGGACAGAGGTTACTCGAGGGGTTTACTCGATCAACGATTACTTAAGGGGTTACTGTCAAGGGTCACTCGAGTTACTCGGTCAAGGGTTACTCGAGTTACTCGGTCAAGGGTTACTTGAGTTAATCGGTTAGGGGTCAATCGATCAAGGATTACTTGAGGGGTTACTTGGTCAAGGGTCACTCGAGTTACTCGGTCAATGGTTACTCGAGTTACTCGGTTAGGGGTCAATTGGTCAAGGATTACTTGAGGGGTTACTCGGTCAAGGGTCACTCGAGTTACTCGGTCAAGGGTTACTCGGTCAAGGGTTACTTGAGTTACTTGGTTAGCTAGGGGTCAATCGGTCAAGGATTACTTGAGGGGTTACTCAGTCAAGGGTCACTCGAGTTACTTGGTCAAGGGTTACTCGGTCAAGGGTTACTTGAGTTACTCGATTAGGGGTCAATCGGTCATGGATTACTTGATGAGTTACTCGGTACGGGATTACTCGAGTTACTCGGTTAGGGGTTATTTAAGATTAGGGGTTACTCGAGTAATTCGGTCAGGAATTACTTAAGGAATTCGGTCAGGGATTACTTAAGAAGTTCGGTCAGAGGTTACTCGAGGGGTTTGGTCATAGATTACTTGAGGGGTTACTCGGTGAGGAGTAACTCTAGTAACCCCTGACCGAGTAACTTGAGTAACCCCGACAACTCGAATAGCTCGAGTAACCCCAAACTGAGAAAGTCGAGTAATCCGACAACTCGAGTAACCCCTGACTGAGTAACTTGAGTAACCCTCTTGCACGGTGCAGCAGGCCACGTACAAAAAAAAATTGTTTCATCATACAGTTGAGCGATTATATGGAACGTTTCACGAACTAATAATTCTCTCATTCGCTTTTGTTGTATCTATTTGGAATCTCGTAAGACAAAAATAGAAGTCAAGAATAAATACAACGTAAATCAAAATTCTTCTAACCACATAATTTTCAATTTATGTGAGTTGGGGGCAAAATAGTCTAACTCAAAACTAGTCAACCTTCTAATGTGAGCGTTTGGTTGATAGAGGATTGATAGAGAGATTTGAGTCCAAAAGGGTAATTTTGAAAAGCTACAGTAATTTATTAGGAGATTTTTGGTGAGATTGATGAAGCCTTTGAAGGAAAATGACTATTTTATTCTAAACTAGATCTAATTTTCTACTCTTTATCAAGTTTGCTCAAGCGTATACATGATACTTGTATTAAATTATGCATATTTCACTATTGGTCATGCATATGGAGTATAATACATTATCATCTAACAACTACAAACATCTAATACAAGCATAATAGGCTACCATCATACATTATCATCTAACAACTACCAACATGAATAAGTTTAAACACTTTTATACAAACATCTAATACATGCAATTAGTCAAAAATAGCTCACACAATCAATTAGTCAAACTAGCTTAATCATCATACAAAAAGATCAAGCTAATAATCTCTTGTCGCCAAATAGCTTAGGCAAATAGATAGAGCCTTAATAAATTTTCATCAATTATAGCGATTTCATTATTCCAATTAGAATAATAGGCTATGTTCTCATGATCTCTCGACATTTTTATTTTATTTTTTGAAATAGTAGTAAAATTAATTCATTAATAATCAGCTCTCTCTACATAAGAATAATATCTCATATTATCTATTTTTACATCCTATATATATATATATATATCTAATCATTTCCCTTCAATCTTTTCTCCTTCAATTTCGATTTTTGATTAGCTTTTTGTATGGTGTGATGAGCAAAATTGTCTCCTATGGCTGTATTCCAATTATTATGACGTTAAAGATAGCTCCTTTTTTTAGAGGGGAAAAGATAGCTCCTAACTTCCTAAGTATTCTTTATGCAACATCAATATTATTATTACTATTTCCTTGAAGATTTAAAGTATGATCTGATTAATTATCCAAAGTACAAAGAATGTGATTAATTAATTAAACATCTTCCTAAAGATGAATATCTTTAATTATCCATAAAATATTGAAAGATTTTTATAAAGAATGCCAAATATATTCTTTGTCACCAAAAAAGAGTGACATATTCTACTAGTATATTTCTTATTTTTGTGCATTTTATTTGCTGGAAAGAGGAAGTACGAATCACATTGCTTTATTTTGCCCATCTTAGTGGAAAATTTCCCATATCCACTTCGTCACATGATATAATGTGGAGAATTATAATTGCTTTAATTATGCAAAATTATATTATGGAAGACAAATCTTATATGCTTGCGTTAATGGGACCATGCACCCTTTAGTTTAAACATTGGAATCAAAATATTACATATACCCTTAGCTCAATTTATATTATGCATGTACCGATGTACGTGACGACAACCTCCATTGTTTATATAGTATTCGGGTTTATTCATCTCGGTCGTGGCTGAAACTGAATTTATATTATCTGACTACTTAACTAATTTTTTTTCGTTAAATTTAATTTAATTTTTATTATTATTATTTTTTTTAATATGTGTTCATGAACACTCGTTAAGTTAACTCATGTTTATATAATTGAAAAATCAAATAACAAATCCTTTGGCCTTGTGAAATTTTGTATATACATTTGGGTTAAAGTGTACCCAAGTTTATTTTAAGTCATATTAATTACATAAGTAAATATACTCTTTGGTGCAATGTACACCTAGTGCAAATTATAATCTCATTGGATTGAGTTCAATTTTCTCGGTCCATCACAAACCACGGTGCATATAACAATAAAAGTATCTAATACATTTAAATTAGTACGTATTTATTTGAGGATGTATGAGAAAATCACATGTAAATTATTGTACGTAATTATTAATGTTTAATTAAATTGATTTGACTTAATAACATTTTCCTATATTGATTTACTGGTCTAGTCCAATCTTTTTTTTTTTTTTTTTGCGTGCGTCAATTCGATATTTTGCAGTCTGGACTCTCTTAAAAATTTTGACATCTTTCTTAAGATTTGAACTTATAACTCATGAAGTCATGATACATAGGCCTTCATTCTGAGTTCAATCCTAAATAACCACTAGGTCAAGATATCAGTAGTTTGAATTTCGGATTTTATCAATTTATCATTGTTTTCTTTACACCCAAAAAAGTTGTTAGATCTATGATTTTGGATTTTGCTGATTTACTCTGGCATTGATATTACATAATCTATACTGATTTGCTGTAAAAAAATAAAAAATGTAGAAAATGTCAATGACAGATTGTCAGGCACTTTTTAATGGTAGAGCTGACTGTAGTAGACGACGCCGTTTGGAGGAGGACGAGAAATTCATGCAGCACGTGCAACATAGAGTCAAAAAAATGAAGTAATTATTTATCGTCTAGCGAGGAAAGCAAGTGACTCCTATACCCCCCATAATTGCCCGAATTTACAATTTTGCCACTCTCTAATATTCAATCAAACGTCAAATTTAGAAATTTAACCCAAAAGAAAGCTCAATTACATTGACAATTATGGGGCCATTATGTTTCCAAAATTAAGATAGAAAAGTAGTCAATTCGAGGTAGCAAATGAGTCACTTCAATTGAATTTGATTTACATTGTAAAAAATAGTCGTGACTCATGCAAGTACGGATTGAATGAAGTCGAATTAAATAAGATCATGTTTAATTTTTATTAACATATTCTACACTCAATACATGTAGTTTCGATTACTTATTATTATTTATATTTAGTCCGGTCATTCAAGTTAGGCTACCATTCAAAATAACACATCCTATTGAACTCTATAATAAATTCACACATTCTATGTCATTAATATTTAATCGGGTAATTCATTGTAATTATTAGTCTCAAATACTCTGTGTTATTCATATTTAGTCTGGTCATTCAGGTCAGGTTAATTCCACCAATCAAAATAAAATCCTACTCCGTATTAAATTCTATATCGAATTCACACACTCCGTGTCATTAATATTTAATCTGGCAATTTATTACAATTATTAGTCTCAAATACTCCGTGTCTATTCAAAAAAAAAAAAAAATTACTCCGTGTCATTCATATATAGTCGGGTCATTCGGGTCGAGTTAATTTCACCAACCAAAGGGAGTTGCTCTTGCTCCTTGCTTCCCTCGTGAATTGGTAGAATTCTGATTTGTCCAACCTCAAATTTGACTCTGCTTATATAAACAAACCCAAGAACAATTCTCAATTTCCTTAACTCTTATTTCCCTCTCTCTCCTCTTCTCCTCTCCTCTCTCTTTCACAAACTGAAAATTTTCCAACAAGAGAAATATGAGCGATCTGAGGTCAAAATTTCTCGAAGTTTATCAAATTCTTAAATCTGAGCTTCTCAATGATCCTGCTTTTGAATGGACTGACACTTCTCGCCAATGGGTTGACAGGGTATTTATCAATTTCTTTAATTTCACTTTTTGTTTCCTTTAATTTGCAATTTAATTTTGTTTTTATATGGGGTTTTAATGAATTTTTTTCCTAAAGGATTAACTACCCTTTTTTTGTAATTAGTCAATATTTTCTTTTGTTTACTGATAGATTAAACTGTTTTAGATTGATTAATTGATCTGGGTATGTTTTGTTTAATTTAAACTATTCATTACTCTTGTTTATGTGTAGCAAATTGCATGATTTAGCTTTTGATTAGTTTTATTTAATGTTTATGCTATTTATAGATGCAATGTGTTTCAATCTGCAAATTAATATGCCTAATTGTCTGATCTACGGTCTATGAGAAACCTTTGAAAATCTTAGCATTTATGCTAATCTATGTTTGGTTAATCTTAATTAAATAAAATGTTAATAAAATTTTGAATTTTTGTTCTTAAATGTGTTCCAATAAGTTGTAGATTGTCTTGAGTTTCCATTTTAGAACTAGATTTATAAAGTTTCACTAACATTAGTAAATAAAGTAAGCTAGATAATGCAAGGCCATCCAAGTGATAACACTTTGCCTAAGAAAAACTTGCTTAGACTTTGGTGTACTTCAAACAAAGCTATCCTTGATTCCTTTCTACCTCGTGGCGTACCGTTTAGCATAGTTTAGTGAACATATCACTGTATTAATTCATATCTAATCTGAAGAATAACCCGATCAACAGTTAACTTCCAAAGTCACTTAGAGCAGCCTTTGTTGTACTGACTTAACATGTCCATAATGCTGACACCCCTGCCTCCTGGTTCTCAGATTTAAGCCTAATTATCGTCTCTTAAGATGAATTTAGTTAGACTTCTCTATGTATTTAATCATGTCTTCTAGCAATTTCGAGTGCTAATGCTATTGAATCAAGAATGTGAGACTACTTGCATCGGAAATCATAAGATATAAGTGGAGCTCTTGGGTTTTAGAGTTTTGGTAGTTACAGTTTGAATGCAATTACTAAATTCCTTTTTGTGCCTAATTGAGAATAAAGAAGTAAAAAATAATTCTGTAAAATCATTGAATTTTAAACCGCCTTTTTCGTTTTTTGAAGTAATACTATGGTGTCGTATATATGGTTCTTACATGCTCTTTTTTGTTGTGTTTTTTTTTTCCCTGCAGATGCTGGATTATAATGTTCCAGGAGGTGAGGAAGTCCTGTCCTTTTCAATTTACTCAATTTTTAAATAAAAGCTGGGCCATGTTTGGAACATAAAGGATGTTTGGCATTTGATTCTTTGCTCTATCTTGTGTTTGTTCTTTTGGAAGGAAAAAAAATTGTTTAAAATGTTTTATGGTCACCTTAATTTTATTTTTTTTTAACTTTATTTTTTTTATGATGTTGAGGAAATAATTGTTTTATGCGAAGCGTATCTTATGAGTGACAAGAATAAACAAAAATATAATAATAAGTTCCTCTAATAGATTTCTGATGTATCATTTTAAAATTTTCACCGAATGATGTGATGGTTATGAAAATTTGAAATTCAAAAGGCAGTGAAGTTTAAGATATGTCCTTCATCCTAGTATACTTTGATATTTATGTAGCTTAACTTTTGGATGAACAAGATATTGAAGATAAAAAAAAAGTCATGTGGAACGAGTATCTAATTTTATTCAAACAACGCAAGCCAAAGCCCAATTTTATTTGAATTCCACAAGTTGCTTTACCTAACATTTTTGTGCGGTTCTGTGTCTTGCAGGGAAGCTAAATCGTGGGCTTTCTGTTATTGACAGCTACAAGCTGTTAAAGGAAGGAGAAGAGCTGACTGAGGATGAAATCTTTCTTGCTTCAGCGCTGGGGTGGTGCATTGAATGGGTATATAGATAGCAATTTTCACTGAAATTATGTAAATTCAGGGAAACCACTAACAGGAATTTTCTATTTTCTGGTCCCTCTCTCTTACAGCTTCAAGCATATTTTCTTGTTCTTGATGACATCATGGATAACTCTCATACAAGGCGTGGTCAGCCTTGCTGGTTCAGAGTTCCTAAGGTTTGCTTTTCTAAAAATAATATTTCATTAATTCTGTATTATAATCTTGTTAACTCAGTATTTAATGGAAAATTTCTCCTGTCAGGTTGGGATGATTGCTGTCAACGATGGAATAATACTTCGAAACCAAATACCAAGAATTCTCAGGAAGCATTTTAGGGACAAGAAGTACTATGTTGACTTGTTGGATTTGTTTAATGAGGTAACGATGCTTTGTAAAGAGTTGGTAGCAAGGGATAATTGTTATGAATTGAATATGCTATAAGCCTTTTCCACCGTTTGTAGGTAGAATTTCAGACTGCTAGTGGACAGATGATTGATCTGATCACTACCATTGAAGGAGAGAAAGATCTTTCAAAATATTCATTGGATCTGTAAGTGGAAATGAAACAAATTTTCTCTTACAGCTTTGCTTTATACTCATACAATCACTAAAGTTGAATTGTGATGCAGGCACCGTCGCATTGTTCAGTACAAAACTGCTTATTACTCATTCTATATTTCTGTAAGTTTGATTCTCAGTTGTTAAAGCAAGCTTTTGCTGTCATTATCCTACTGATGGCTAAATAGTTTTTCAAAAAGTCAAATAATGTGCATCCTGTAAGACTGTATTGAAAGATAATTAGATCATACATAAGGAGAAAAACTTGAGTGAAATTGTAATAGTTCCATAAAATTCATTCAATTGCTGCTACTAGATGATGTCAACTATGTCTGACATGTTGCTCTAACATGCAGGTAGCTTGTGCTTTACTAATGTCTGGTGAGAAGCTTGAAGATCATGAAAATGTCAAAGACATTTTGATTAATATGGGAATATATTTCCAAGTACAGGTCAGTTGACAGCATAAAATAGATGAATGTACCTCCAGTTCTTATACATTTTTCACAGAATTACCTTTTGAATGTAGAATGATTGATTCTGATATTTTTCCTTTGTAGGATGATTATCTTGATTGTTATGGAGACCCGGAATTCATTGGCAAGGTGAGATACAAACTTGTTGCCTGCAATATTTTTTAATTTGTGTATCTGATTATTCGAAAGTCTTAATTTTATGATATTTACTCTTCAGATTGGAACTGATATTGAGGATTTTAAGTGCTCCTGGTTGGTTGTGAAAGCCTTAGAACTTTGTAATGATGAACAGAAGAAAGTCTTACATGTAAGTACCGTCATTCTCATGATTTTAAGTCATTGCCATCTTTCATGTTCTCATCCATAAATTGGTTTTCCAGGAAAATTACGGCAAAGAAGATCCAGCTTGTGTCGCAAGAGTAAAAGAACTCTATAATGTGCTCGATCTTCAGGTTAGTATTTTCAAGTGTATTATGTCTTTTATCTATCTATCTTGGATAAGTCTCAGTTGTCTCACCTATTATCTTTACGAATTCTCTTCCCTATACTGAATATACTCATCAACTTTCTTAGGGTGCATTTGCCGATTTTGAGAGCACAAGTTATGAAAATTTGATCACATCTATTGAATCACATCCTAATAAGGCTGTACAGGCTGTCCTGAAGTCATTCTTGGCGAAAATATACAAGAGACAGAAGTGAAGTCTTGGTGCTTTCGCCCTCAATTGATTCTTGATTTATTTTGTAATTGGTTTGTTGTGTTATTTAGGTGCTTTTGTAACTTAATTTTTCTGCAAAGACAGCTTATATTTAATTATTTATAAATGATCCCTTCCACTTGTGAAGGAGATTGCCTTCATGTCTAAGTTTGTCCTATGTTTAAGCATCTTTAACATGTCTGGATCAGTGATCACGTTCATTCTCTCTCGAGTATTGACCATCATCAATCTCCCTAAAAGAAAATTGAAAAAAGAAGTATGCACAAACTCCCTATTTGATGCTCCACGACAGAAATTATAGAAGTTAAAAGACAATTTTCAGGTATACTATTCATAAACCAGGAAGGCAGGAATTGAGAATGCTCTGTTCTGCAGTAGCTGTCATAGTTATGGTGGATCCAACTCTACTAAAGCACAAAATAGTGTTCGTAAAGGTAGAGTTTTAGAAGAATAACAAAAGGTAGTTTTTGGGGTAGTCGGGTGGGTAGAGTTTGCACACTTCCACCATAACATACAGTAGCATATACTTAACGCCTCATCAATCTGTATGCGTATGTAACTGCTAATCTTTTTTTTGCTAACTTCCTTTCTGATATTGTTAAAAACTGAACTAATACTCAGTATGATTTTATACTAATGCTGTATTCTTGAAATCTGAAATGTGACATATTTACATTGTGAAGTATTGTAAATTTGTAATGTCTGTAATTCTACAAGTCTACAATAAAGCGAAATGCAATGATCTTAGGCTATACATAGCTCTTAAGCATGCATTATTGTTCAGGTGCATGCCCGATTACATGTAGTTGCTATCAGAGATTTACAGTGATCCAGAACTCAGAAGAGTTTACTGAGTGGTTTTGGTGCACACCTGTAGTATTGTCGTTCCAAATTTCAATGATTTTAGTTTACTGAGTTGTTTAGGTACAGTTAAACTGTCATGTTCTATTAGCAGAACAGAATAACAGAACATGCAAATATGAATATGGAGTAAAAGGATATGAGGATGCAATCACCAAATTTCTAGCTCGAGAACGAGCTGCAGATTCTCTGTTCTTGATTTTTAGTTGATGTTTTTTCACTGACTGGTGATGAGCTTGTGAGAAAACACTTCCTAAGAAAAAGTAACAAAATACTTCCTAAAAATTTGCACAGAATCTGACTAGTTTTATGAAAATGCAGAGCAACATCAGCAACATCTCATGTAGTTTTGGGACAATTCAAGACCTGTGTCATCGTCTAGGAGGCTATCTATTGTTCAATTCAGATTCGGGACCTACGAGTCTTTGTGGAGCTGTGGCGGCATTGGGTGGCATGTCAGTTTATACATCACTTAGCCTAAATGAATCTGTTGAAAGTGTTGTGAAGCAGATTCCAAGCTTGAATCAACTTGCAAAACCTGAATCAGACATTGAAGAAGATCGATGAGGAGAAAGCAAGTGTGATAAGTGTCTCAAGAACCGAGTGATTAGGAAGTAGTGATAGTTTACAAAGAATGTGATGTAGGCGAGTGTCTAAGGTGCAAAGGAGGAGAAAAGGAAGAGAATGGCGTATTGTAGCTTTGATAATTGTTAGGAATATTAAGAGAAAATTTTACATGTATTTTGAATGGTTGTTTCCTTGATTATAGGATATGATTAATACAAGAGATCTTGTATATTATTTTGCTTATTGTTAAATATGAATAAAGTGTCGAGCTCTCTCTTCCTTTCTCAATATGAAACACTTACATGTGTTGTTTAGGAAGTTTATACTTGAACACTAATTGATACCATGCACCTAGAGCTACTTGTTTGGCATCATTTTTTATTTTCAGTTTCCTGTTTTTTAGAAAACTAAAAACCAAAAACAAGAAACAAGAAACAAGAAAAAGGTGTTTTCACTTTTGTGTTGTCAGTTTTCAAAATTATTATGATTTTACTAAGTTCAAATAATTTTTGATACATTATGTGACATATATCATATACTTTTAATCTTTTATAGAACAAAAAAAGAAAACCACAGTAATGCCAAACGAACCCTGTAGTTATTTAATAGATATTTATATTTAATGTATTTATAAATGTCAAATTCATTGCCGTTTAAAACGAATTTTCCATTCAAAATATCCATGTACATAAAAACAATCCACAAAATCGTCACAACCTAGATGCACGCACCGATAACACATAGAATGATAGAAACATTGATTCATACCTAAAATTAGTAGTCCAATGGCCTAACAAAATCATAAAACAGAGGTAAATTAGCTGTTTATATTCTAAATATATCACAAAATTGTGTTATTAAAAATAGGAAGCTCTTAAAGAAGTCATCAAGAATAAATTAAACAAGCTCAAATTGGCCACTTTTGTTCTATTTACTTAATATTTTTCTTCCCCTTTCTCTAAGGGGTTTTGTTCCATCTCTGGTCAATTCTTTACCAAAAGAGAAGGCACAACAACTTTGGATACCCTAATTAATCTTCTCACATTGCACTACAATTTTCATCATATATATATTCAGCATTTTGAAGACATAATTATAAGGTATCTCTTTTATTATTTTCCTCGTTTAATATGTTGATTACATAATATCATTCGTACATATTATAAATAATTGATCGTTTACATCTAATTTAACATTTATTGCTTTTGACATCATTAACATGATTTTTTTATTTTTTGATCATGCATCCAATAAGTTTAGAGAGGATTTAATATTATTATAACATTAGAAGCCCTATAATTTGCTAGCATGCACAATTTTGTAAGCTAAAAAAAGTCCTGTTTAAAGCTACCTCAATTTTATTTTAACATCTTCATTGCTTATTTAAAATGGAATCGATTGTTACATTTGAGATTTTGCAAAGGTAGTTCCCGTGTCATGCACGTTTATTATTAATAACTTTTATTAAATTATTATTATAATTAATATCAATTTGATGGGTTCACAATTAAGACTTTTTTGGGGGAATCACCCTATATATGATGTACGAAGCATAAGAAATTAGGCTCATAGTCTAAACATAGGTTATATGAGGTTATGAACCTTGAGTGCCACAGACCGGTAGTAAACTATCAAAATATTAATTTAGGAGTTAGTTTTAATGAGAATGCTCTTGAAACTATGCCTCCAATTCAAGCATTTTGTCTTTAAGAAGATTTTTATTTTATTTTTTAACAAAAAATCTCCAATAAATTCCGATCTTCAATTCCACAACTTGTTATTGTAATGTATTCCGTGTTAATGCACGGGTATATTCTAGTAATTCTATTTTTATGTTTCTTGACAAGTTCTACGTATTCCTAATTCAATGTCTATAAAAAGCAAATGTTATGAATAATAATCTACAATTTTTTATTATCATTATTATTTTTATTTTTATTTTTATTTTTATTTTTATTTTATTTTTGGGAATATGATACTTGCTCTGACACGTAAATTAGTTTCTGGTTGAAATTTATAATTAATAGGCCCTAAAACATTGGGACACCCATGGATCAAATAAAGGAGGAGCCACCCATGAGGCGCAAAAGCTCATTACAAAATCTAAACAGAGAAGAGGCCCATAAACAAGAAGAGGCCCAAAAAGAAGCAGAGGCCCAACTAAAGGGCCCATTAAAAAAGTCGTCAAGTACCCGAATAAACTGTCTTTGCTCCCCAACTACTCATGTCGGATCCTTTCGATGTCGGTTACATAGACACGGGAAAACCGGGTTTCACCGTGGGCACTCGGTCGGAGCGGATCTATCCGAGATGGATGACAAGTCAAATACTAAATCAAGCTCATCCTCCTCAACCATGCAAATGCATTGACTAAAGGAGGTTTCATTTTATGTTAATATTATGATATGATATTGTATTAATTATTTATGTGAGGGAAATTAAAGTGCCTTGACTTTGCTAGCTTTGGTGTATGAGATTTAAGGGTGGAGAAACTTGGATTAATTTTTTTTTGACGATACCTTGTATCTTCATTCTTGTATGTAAAAAAAATTAGCTATTGACAAGTTAATCTTGTTGAGAAGTTCTAACTAAATAATTTGCAATTTATATGATCCATATAAACCACATTAGATACAAAGCAAGTTCGATACATTTTCGTATACAATAATAATCCACTAATATACCTTTTCATCAATAGTTGTTTAATTACTAAGGGCATGTTCTCTTCAGCTTAATATTAGTTTAGTTTAGTTCAACTCCAATCAGTTCAGTTCAGTTCAATTCGATCACCTCCTAATTTCCTTCTCTCATAAACAATTAACTTCAACTCTATTCAGTTCAGTTCAGTTCAGTTCGACTCCAATCAGTTCAGTTCAATCCAGTAAATCAGAACATACCCTAATATTTATAATAGTTGATTTGTTGAGTTAATATGATGCAACTATTAGGAAACAAATTGAAACAGCAGGTTTATTATAATCATTTGAGAAATAAAGATTCTTGTTATTGTTGGAACAATATTTAGTTTTTTTAAACTTTAAACTCGAAAAAAGAAGTCTATTTTATGAAAATTCAACTCCCATATGTTTTTTTTTTTTTTTTAAGAATCCTGTTTCGGGGTTTTCTGATGTCCTGCGAGAGAGTTACAATTCTGAGACTGGAACCGGACGCCTGTACCTGCAAAACAACCGGATGCTCCGGATGATTGGAGATCCGCCTCCGACGGTCAAGTTAGTACTTGATTAAGGAGTAATTAATGCGGAAATTAAAGTGATTGGGTCTCTCTAGGTGAGAGTGTTTAATGTGTGTAATCTGCGTCATCTCCCTTAATGAGGATTAAGGGAGGTATTTATAACCTCGGGAAACGTGCCAATCTAGGTTTAGGTTAACCTTGGGCTGATTCGGCTTCCCTCGGAAGTTGGGCCTAGGTGGCCGGCTTCTCCATTAGGCATGGAGTATGCCACGTGTCATGAAATAATAAGTCCAGGGTGGACGAATAAGCGTGTGCCACGTGGAAAGCCTTGAGAGGTCCAACTGGGGGACACTTGGCAGGACCTGATTGGCCCACGTGGCGCATTCCGATTGGTGGGAGCAAAATCCCCTAATCATTTGCCCCTCACAGGTGGCACGTGACTGGTCACGTGTTACCTGTGACAGGTGTCGCCCTGTAACAGGCGACGGCCTGCTACAGGTGTCACTCGGCGAGAGGCCGAGAGATT